AAATCGCGCAAATGGCAAAGCTAACATGGTTTGGCCCTGGCGACGCACAAACAGGTGAAGGCTGTGCAGGACGAAAACGGGGCCAAATTCTTTTTTACTCCATACAGTGCATATTTCTGAGCTCGTTTCAAGTTGTAGAAAACTACAAAAGTAATGATTACATCTGTTAGCATTCAGTTAAAACACTTTCTTTTGTATGCATGGACTCAAAAAATTAATTCTATTAAATTAAGAAGAAGAAATGGTTCTAAAATGTACCTTTTTGGAAAATATTTTCGGAAAACTTCAAAAATTTAGCATGGTACTAGATATTCTACAGAACATTAATATTTATTTTAAATGATTTTTTAATGTGGGCTTTTTCTGTTTTCTTCTTATTAAGATTATTAAGAATAAGCTACTTACTCTAAAATTGAAAGTAAATAATATTTTTTTTAACTTCGAAAAACTGGGAAATTTGTCAAGAACACACTTAAGAGGCGATATAAAAGTCACTGCAAAATATTTCTAGGGAATTTTTCGAAGCAAAGACTTGAATTTGTTGATTTGAAAACCTTTAAATTAATGCGTTTCTTATGATTCAGGCCGATAAGGCCTATACAATATTAAATATTGTGTTATTAGGCCCAAATACTTAACGTTAATATTTTCGGGCTTACATTTGTCAGTTTAATGAGCAACATTTATGCATGGCAGGCAAAATTAAATAAATTAATTCAACGAAAATTATAGAGATTTAACGTTGATTGCCGTTTTCTGGAGAAAGCCCTTGTTTCACTAATGCCTAGCCACGTTTACTGAATGCACAATTATTAAATAGGCTGGCAAAAGGAAAACAACAACTGCTCGAGCAGCAGAGGGCGACGATAGCGTCCTCTGTTCCTCTATTGGTGTGGGCATATCACATGTGCACATTTGGTTGTTTTGCAGACGCAACAGAGCAAGAGAGAGCGACCCAATCACTAACTCCTCTCTCCCTCTATCCCGCTCTGCTGGTGCCGCCGCTCTCTTTGGTATCGATCTGTGAAACATGCAAAAGTCAACTGGAAACTGGAAAACAACCACCAGAATCCTGTTCTGTTGCGGTTTTTCTCAGTATGGAGCAAATATCTCTGACATTGATGACAGCTTTTTCTTTTTTGCGACTACACTGGCCAAAAAGACCGAGTGGAAATGGCAACAGCAGCGGCGTGCGTGTGGGTGGAACTATGACTCAACATTTTGTGGTTATGCATGTGTACATTGACACACGTGCAATGTTTAGGGAGCGAAACAAAAGCGGAAACGGATACGATGCCCGCGACACTCGCCCAACTTGTCAATGTCACTTGACTGAGAAAGGCAACAACAGGCAATAGCAGAGATGGGTACAGGCAAGAGGCGCACTTCAAAGTCTGGCAGCAGCTGTTGGCAGCTGGCAAAGGCTGCTGGCAGAACGTGCACAGAATTGACTACACACACAAACACAATTAAATATTAATGTGCTAAATTAGGTGAAAAATGGCATTTGATGGTGAGCATTGTCGACAGGCGTGTCGGGAAATTCATTGCGTTGCTCAAAAACCTCCAATGGGTTGACTGTCGATTGTGTGTAGGATTAGGTAGCAACTTGTGGCATTAAGATGCCGTCAGTTGGGCTTAAGATGTCTTTTCATATCAAATAAATTAAAATCAAGTAAGAGCGCTTCAGTCGGGAGTGCCCAACTGAACCCAGACCCGACTTGCCGCTCCAAGCATTCGAACTCGGTTCCGTACATATATATCCTCACAATAACAAAAAGCACAGAGGCCGCAAGAAAACTCTTTATGGAGGGAGTATGTTCCTCTTCCTCAGGCCAATTCTAAGTGCAATGATAAATAACTTCTCAATGAAATTTAATGTGCATAAAAATACCATTGCAAATAATTATATTTTAGTAAATAAGCTTCTTCTCTATTTTGTGCGGAAACGAAAAGTGAAAAACCTGAGGCCCTTGATCGATTTGTGTCCCTAGCTTCTATAAGCTCTGGGATATAAAATATATATTTAGAGATAATCATAATTAAAAATTAAAATAATAATGCTCTAGTAAAACTCAAGTTTCAAAGTCTCCAGCTCTCAAATTCTCTAATACATATTTGTTACCCATTTTTAATGTATTTAGGCGGAAATAATATATTTAATTCATATAAAGTTCGAGAAGTTTATCAATTAAAATTCATTCTCAATCAAATGGTAAGGATTTCGGTTAATATGTTTTTGACTTCATCAATGCAATCAAGCAATACTAAAAGAAAAGGATATACATATATGTATATAAAAACAGACGGAACGATACAAGTCTAATACCTTATACTAAAGATTCATATGGGAGGAATAAATCCTTTGAAGCGTAAATAAATAAAAATTTAAGCAACTTTTCTTAAATAAGAAAAATATATATTCTTTTTTTTTTAAATTAATAGAAACAGTTTGGGTTTACGTTCTTGAATTAAAAGATGTGGTGATGATTTTGAGCCTTTTGTAAATAAGTTTATTGCGTATTTTTTTATTTTGCGTTATTAAAACTGAATAAAGCTTTGAATAAGGGCTAAAAAAACAGTTTCCTTAGTCGGATTCCATACTTGACCTCCATACACTTATGTTCAGTTCTACAAATCAACAAGAAATATTTACAAGTTGAAATAAAGTTGAAATACACTTATTGCTAAGCCATTGGCTTATGCAATTCATAGGAAACTACAAAATTGGAATAATTTAGTTGCAAGCGTAATATGCAAACAAATGTTGACAAACACACCACATTTTGCTCAAAACTGAATATTTTGATTGCATCGAAAATGTCTATTCAAGTTCTGACGAATTAAAGTTTCTACAAAATAGAGTTTCCGAGCAATCACTGAATGCCGTAAAAGATTGAACAAATATGCATCCTTTTTCTAGACATAATTTGTTCAATTCTTAGATCATTTTAAATGGGCATCATATGAATAATATACTATTTTTCTAAATGCCAACATTATTCTGCAGAACCATTTGGCGTTTAGAGCTATCAAATTTGTGGGAACAAACAATAAATCAACTTCTTGCGCCAAATACTATGTATTACAAATTGATCAGCTATTTGCTTGCAGTTAAAGCAATTATATGTTCAGTCACGAAACGAGAGTCAAATCCAGACACCAAATCCAAATATGGCTAAGCAAGAGCAAACGGGGTGTGCGGGGAGTCGAAAAGGTTGGCAGAATGCTAAAAGGTACAAATTGGAAGGTCAAATTAGCACGCCATAAAACTTTAGGGGCTGTCCGTAGGTCTTTGCAGTGGCACAAAGTACGAAGCGTTTCGAATGGGTTATAGACGTTAGCACAGCATGTATATATGAATGTACGTATGTGCCGCCGGCAGATAACAGAAATTGGCATTGGATGGCAGCTGGCAAGAGATAAACACACACACAGAGCGCTTATCGGTCATAAAAAGAATGCGAGAGATAAATTCGTCAATCTAGGCGATAGAAATATAGTTGACTTACCTTTTGGCACCCTCATCGCCTTCGAGTCCCTGCTCGCCGCTGGCAGCGGCTGCAGCTTCCTGTTCCGCTGATGCGGCCACCACCTCGGCTGAAGATGTGGTTGCAGCGCCACCGGCAGCATCGGCTGTGGGCACTGGCACATCCTCATCGCCAGCGCCGCCCTTGACTGCGCCCACCAGCGAGGTGAATTGATTTGTTAGACCCGAAAACATGTTTCGCTTCTTTGTTGTGTTGTGTTGTGTTTTGTGTGCTTTTTGCCTGCGTACGCTCTAAAGGATTAGCCTGGCGTCGTCGTGTACACACAAAACGATTGCCACACGAAGCCGTTGCCGAAGGCGAAGCGACGAAAAAACTGAGAAGGCAGAAACGTGCAAACGTGCACAAAGCGGGCGCTTGCTTGTGGGGTGTTGTTACTTTCTGGTCGCTCTCTATTGCTCTCAATTCTGTCTCTCTCCCTCTCTCGCTGCCTCTCGCTTGCTTCAATTGACTCTCTTGTCGTGTTCTGCAAACGTCGCTGCTGTTTCCCCTTCTTTCGCTTGACTTTTATTACACTTGGCAGAAATTTTGTAATAGGTTTTTCTTTTGCATCAATGTAGTTTCACTTTCAACTGGTAAGTTATGTAAATTTGTTTGCTTTTTCACAGTTAATTATGTTAGCACGCTGTAAAATGGAAAACAATAAAAATTAACTGCAGGGCAAGTTAAACTATTGCCAGAGGCGAGGAAAATCAATAAATAGGCAAATAAATGAAACTATTTAAGTACACTGCGGTTAACTGTCAAAATTATTATTGGCACTTTAAAAATGTCGCGCTAAATCGATATTTGTTCACGCCTCCGACTTTATAATTTTATAACGTAACGTAGTAAATTACCACTTCAGAAAGTTTCTTTTTTTCTGATTTTTTTTTTTTGTCTGTTGTCTGCCTGGTTAAACGAGCGAAACTGGAATTTTCGGCTGCCTGTGTCGAAGGTCCTCTGAAAACTGACTGAGCAGCGGAATTTTCATTTCTCAAATACCGTTGTCTGGTGTGTGCTCTCTCGCCAGTCAAAGCTCCAAGAACGATGCTATGGATGTTACCTCCACTGGTGGAAAGCAGTTGTCGTTGACTTTGCTGGTGGTTGATTTTAGCGTTTGCTTTGTGCTGGAATTTCTGTGTATTTTCGCGCATGTGCCAGCTGTTTTGCGTCCTTAGTGCTACTTGGGTTGCGCAAATAAAGCAAACAAAACTTTGACACGTCTTATTGTACACGCAAAAAATAAACACGTATATTTAATAACAACGTAGCATTTAATTTGGATCTTGTCTTTGTGTGCCTTCCAGTGCTGCCAAGCATCAGCTGTTCGGCGCAGTCAACTTTGGGTAGCAACAAGACAGGGCTGTCATACACCAAACAGCTGATTCTTGGCAATATTAAAAACATTGTTATAATGTGCTAAATGGTTGTTTGTATCTATTTACAGGCAATAAAAAAAAAAACGTCGCATTTCTACTTAGAATCTAGTTTAATCAATGTAAAACTAAAGCTAATTTCATTCGGAGGTAGAAAGCACATAAGTTTCTTAACGTCTTTGCCTAGCTCTGCTTTGGGGCGCTTCTTCTGCTTGTTGCTCGTGTTTCGGGCTTTGATGCTGCTCCTGTGCTTTTAACTCGTGATCCAGACGCTCCTTGGCGCGGAAGACTTTGGATTGCAGATAAAATGAGCCGCCTTTTGCCCGATCATTGACGTTAAATAGATGCTCATAGTTTTTGACAATGGAATCGACGCTCTTGAGGTCCTCAACGTTTAAAATTTGCTTGGCCTCCTCGAGGGTCATACCTGAATACAACAATGTTATTGCTGGTAACGGCTATTTTAAAATCACATTCACATACCCGTCCGAAGGTTCGACTCGGCACTCTGATCCCCTTGCCTACCGCCACCGGCACGCTTGGCAGCCTCCTGCGATGCGGCTATTTCTTGCTTCAACGCCTTGGCAAAAGCGCGTCCTATTGCCTGACCACCCAGCACAATGATTTGAGCAATGTATTTTGCCATGTCTGCTACGGTTGCACTAGTTTGTCGTCAAATCTCGCAAGTGAATTTAGCTTTACACACTAATAAGCAAGTTCAAACAAATCTACGTGCTTGTCATTATACAACGTACCTAACCTCCAACCAGACTCGGCACGCATAGCAAGCTTAATCAGCTGTATGCAGTGTGATGGGTAGCACTGATACTGTACAGCTTGGTGCTAGCATATGAAGTTTAGTGTGACCGTTCATGAGCTGTGGTGGACCGTCGATAGAAAAATATCCGATAGTTATTCGAAATTTAAAATCTTTTGATCAACATTTGCAATGAAATTGAAATAGTTCAAATTTTATAAAAATGGTTAAGCCAAAAACGGGGCAATGGCAGAAAAACTACGCGAAGCTTGTCTATCGACAACATCATGGGCAGGTGAAAACGACGAACTTAAGCCACCAGATCCATAGGTTATTGATCAAGCACGCGGCTATAAAGCTCAACATTGCACAGGAGGGTCAAAAATATGCTGAGAAATTTGAAACGATGGATAATATGCGCCATCTACTGGACAAATTGTTGCACTCAAAAAAACTAAAGCTGAGTCCCAAAAAAAAGGAAAGTCTACGCAAAATGAAGATGCAACTTCCTTCCAGTTCGCTACTGAATCGCATCAGGCTAATGGAGTTGTTGGTAAAGCTGCCCAAATACTCTGGTAGCTCCGAAGATCTCCATGTCGATTGGCTGCGGTATTGGCATGGAAAGGACTTGCAACGGCTGGAGAGTCTTGAGCATGGACTGGATCGGATCAATAAAAAGATGCTGAACGTCATCAGTGATATCCATGATTTGCAGTCAATAATCAAATATGTCCAAAATTCGCAAGCCCCCAAGTTCCGAATCACACCCGTCATCGTGCGCAGGCATTGGCTGGAGCCCACCAAACACGGTTCTGATGTGAAGGCCACTATTGCCACGACGAACAAGAATCATCGCAAGTTGCTAGACGTGCGTCCACGTTTTATACTGAAGCATGTGCCAAAAATGATGCCCAATATGTATAGTTATTTGAAGACTTAGGGGGTTATATGAAATAATTTATTATGCAAGAATTAGTCTAAAAGCCGCGCTACTTAAATGCTAGCAAAATGCTCTATGGCCTATTCTACTCCTCTCCAGCCATATATACAGAAGCTGCTTAAGTATGTATTTACAAAATAACAACTACAACTAACAATTAACATTTTGTGTGTGTGTGTGTGTGTGTGTGTGTGTGTGTGTGTGCATGTTTATATTTTGTTTAGAACATCTTTGCTCATATGGCCTGCCTCTTTGCTTTAACGTTTACCAGCTTCAGCTTGGGATCCCTCAACAGAAACCTGGATTGGTATGCTCAATGATGCAGCGCTTGCAGTACTTCTTGACCGCCCGATAGCCCTCGATGGATATCTGACAGTCCTGTATGTTAAGCTGCTGCAGGCCGCGACAGTAATAGGCTATGCATTGTACGCCACGGTCCGTAATCATATCACAATTGCGTAGGCTGAGCTTTTTCAGGTTCGGGCAACTCTCGGCGAGCGCGCGCAGACCCGCATCGCTCACATCGCACTTGCCAATGTCGAGGGCGCGCAAGCGGGGGCAGGAGCGGGCTAGCACTGTGATGGAATCATCGCTGACTGCCTCACAGCCGCGCGCATTCAAATAGCGCAACTTGTAGCAGCGGCGTGCAATGACCTTCAGGCCCGCATCAGAGACTCTCTCGCATTTGGCCACAGATAGATAGCGCAAGGCGGCGCCCAGCTTGGCTAGCTCGTACAGACCAAAGTCCGTGATGTTGACGCAGTCCGAAACGCTTAGCTCCTTCAGCGAGACACAAAAGCTGGGCACAAACTTCAGACCCGCATCTGCATCATGGAATTAATGAATTGTTATATCATTCAATTACGATTCTGGCTATCAATGTGTTACCTGTAATTTGAATGCAGCGGCGCAGATACAAATACACCAGCTGTGGACAATTTTTGACCACAATTTTGAGGCCCATGTCATCGATGGCCATGCAATCGGTCAGGTCCAGATATTGCAGCAGTAGACGACGCGGCGGCTCCATATGGGGATTCGGACTTATGCTGCTCACCTGACTACAGCCTGTGTGCGTTGGGGGTAAGAATATATGTCACATTGAAAATTGAAATAATAAGTTATAAGCTCCAACTCACCCGTCACATCTAGATGCTGTAGATTGCTACACTTGGTGAGCGCCTCGACCAGCGCCTGATTGGACACGCCCTCGCAAGTCTGCAGCTGCAGATGCGTCAGTTCGGGACAGCGACGCGTGAGCAACTGCAGACCTTTGTCTGATATGCGACATCCTTCGGCGAGCATAACGCGTTCCACCTCCGGGCAGGCGCCATTGCAGCTCTGTCCGCACAGCTGGCGGAAGATCATCTTCAGCGTCTTGTCACCATTCAAATGCTCGCCGCGCAGCGTGATGCACTTCCAGAGTACCGGACGCCAGGCGAGCTGCTCGAATCGTCGACAGACGCGCGCTACATTGCACAGCTCGCAACTATCCAGCCAGCTGAAAATGCGTACAACGGCCTCATCGGGCAGGCGGTCAAAGTAGGGTCCGCAGCGATAGGGACCCTTACGGTTCCAGGGTGGCGGCCCAATGGCTGTGCCATTGACCGTGCCGCTGCTGCTGCTGGTCAATCCACGCCGCGGAGTTGTAGCGGGAGTGCTGCTGGTAATGACACCTCCGCTGACCACGCTAGGGCTGCTATTCTTGGGATTGCTACACACAACAATGCCACCCGTGCTGCTCGGATGATGGCCAGTTGGCGAAGGTGACACCAGCGTGGCATATCCTTGGTCCAGGCTAGGTGAAAAGCGACCCATATTACACAGGCCATCGGATAGACTTTGGACTTTGGTGTGGTGATGGTCCAGCTGGAAGGCATTGGCGGGCGAGTTGGTGCTGCGATTTAGCAAATAACGATCCGAGCCACTCGTCTCACTGGGACTGGAGTTACGCGGATGATGCAGACGTTCTATAAAGATAAATGGAGAGAATGAGAACTTTGTAAGAATGTTTCGCTTGTAGCGAAGCAAAGACAGAGTTCAAATTTTCTAAAATATCTTTTGTAACAGTAATTTAAAAGTATAAGAAGCGGTAACATTACCATCGAAGTGCTGAATTTTAAATACCCTTGCAAAAATATGACGAGACTTCCTATATGGCTATATGGTAATATGTGTGAAATAATAGTCTAATGTTGATTATATATTTTTTTCTACATTTGAGGCTATATCATGCAAACCATATGATTACTCTTTGACTCGTACGTGTCATTACATGACAAAGTTAATATATTAATTGAAAGCGTCTTAAAATATAAGTACCAATAATACAATTAAAATAACTTATAAAGCTAGGTCCAATTTTGTAACCGACAGTTGGTTGGTTAAGAGAATCAGTTGGGGCATCCCAGAAAGTTGCTCGCATTCTGGATTTTATGTAAAAGCGGCTAACTTTATGCTTTGTAACAATTTAAATTTACTATTTTTAATTTATGTAAGAATAATAATTTCACTTTTTAACAACCTAAGTTCAATAACACAAATAAAAACGGGAAAATATATAGAACGGGAAAATATATAAATATATAAATATATAGAAAATATATGGTATATTCTTAAATACCCTATCACCAGCTTATGGTGTTTATTTTTGTCATGAGATAAACTGAAAAGTACATGCATTTAGCTTTCCTGCTTGTTTCCAATAACTGTCAAGAAACTGAATTTGCCTTCAACCCATATTTATGGGCCAAATGTCTCCATCTGTACTCACCTGGCAATCGCTCGTTGCCGCTTCCGCTGCTGTAGTCCTCCAGGTAGTAACGCTCGTTTTGGTACTGGCTGGCTTCGGCACCCAGTGGCAGAGCACGCAGCGCATTGCCCAGATACAGAGACTCCATCTTCTTGTCCAGCAGATACTGGGCACTGTTGCCGTTGCCCAGCACCGTGGGCACACTGCAGCGTCCACCTTGGCCTTGTCCGCGTCTTCTACCAGCGCTGGCAGCGCCTCCAGCGTTATTGTCGCTAGAGTCTTCGGTGTCCGCGCTATTGCCATGCAGCCAGTCCAGTGTAAGAAAGTTGCGCGGCTGCGGCACAGGAGCATTGGTTCTGGTTGCCGGTGCAGGCATTGTCTGCAGTTCCGGGGATTTCTTTGCTTGCGCATGGCGGCCCACAGACGCGGTGGAGTGTGCGCCATAGCTGGACTGATCATGCCGCGTGTGCCGGCCACGCAGCTCGAATGTGGCAGCCTTCTGCTGCACCATGTGCAGCACAGCAGCCGTGGTGGCCGTTGACGATGGCGTCTGCTGGTCGCTGTGCGGCGTGGAGCTGCGCGAGGCTAGTGGATAGAGCTCCCCGTTGGCGACGGTGTCGTTAACATTGTGGCCCAGATTTGGTGATTTGCGCGACATCTTATAGGCTTGCGGGTCTAACGGACTTGAGCTCAACGGATGCGGATGATGATAGTGGGCTGCCGCCAGCTGATCCCGCACCCCATTGCTGGTTCGCCCAAGCGAAGCCAGCGGACACTCCAGATCTGTGGCACGTCGTGCGCTCGTCTTGTGTGACATATTTTTGTTTTCGGTACGTTTTGTATTATTTATTGTCTTTTATACAGCGACCTTCGCTTTAGGGCCAGAAGTCTGCAAAAGCGAAGATAAATAACACGTTCTTAATTAATTTAATATTGTCATTTAACCTGCATTAGAAAAAAAAAACATTTGTATTTTATGAACGCATTTGTAATAAGGACCAAGGATGTAAATCGGTTCTGTACCGAACCGGAATGACAATTTATTTTTACTTTGAACCAGCTCCAAAAGAAAACTTGAACCGAACCTATCTGCTGACTGCGTGACGCACTGACTGATTGACTGGCTGATTGATTGACTGACTTGCTGAATGAATTTACTTCTTACTGACTGACAAACTGATTGACTGGCTGATTGACTGAATGATTAACTGACTGACTGACGTACTGACTCATTAATTGAGTGAAGTGCACTCTGCACAATTCCACATAACATTTTTTTTTTTAAGTTGTCGAGCTAAAAACCCATTTAGTAATCCAGAAAGCTTTGGAACTATTGCCATATATGTCTATATGAATTTAAGTGCTGTAAAATTGACAATGTTCATTTATTACTCGAAGTATTTGTGTGGATGCGCAATCGAGCAATGGAATTTGGGTCATTGATAGTCATAAAAGCAAAGTGAAATAAATAATAATAGAAGTATATATAAATTATATTTAGCCTGAGCCTCGCCAGTCGTTGGCTTCATTGGCCATGGGAATGGACTGTGCGCCGGCTGTGTGGGCAGTTCAAAGTAGGTTTCCTACGACTCCGGCTGCCAATTATTAGAGACATATTTTGTATGCGTATGTGCCCACCTATTTGCAAATATATTTTTCTGTCTGAGTGCCACACCTTCGAGTGGATCGAGTGGATTTGACCTTTAAGATAATTCAAAGCTAAATTCTAGCCAATTTATGTTGCTGGTTAAAAGCTTTGTTGAGCCCACTCCAGAGAGCAGAGATGTGGCCAACATGATTAGCTATTTAAATGCGGCGCCAGTCTTATATTTATTTGGCTGAAGTTGTTAACATTTTAACAATTAATAAGCAGTATGCCCACGCCTTCTGTACAGTTGAGTTTTTTTGTACTATTATGGAGGGTGTTATAATTTTGCCTCGAAATGTGTAAGGCATAGCAGAAGTCTCCGATCCCACAAAGTGTAGCTATGTAAATGCGACTGAACTGTTTCCAGGCAGAACATATTGATCGAAATTTGGTTTATATGAAACTCAAAGACATCTTGACCAAACTTGGCATTTATGAGTCCTACCACGTTCCTTAACTATGAGCAAAATCTTACGAGCATCGCAAAATAAGTGTTTACATGGAATATTGTACTTTTACCCAAGGGTTTTCAATCTTCTTGTGTTTTTCTTGCTTGGTTTTTCAGACACACGTATGCTGTCATATTTGCCTTCCTCTCGGCTCGAGCTCCATTCATTGGCCACAGCTTAAATATACTACTATTTATTTTATTAATTTATTTTGTGTTTGTTTGGCAAAAAACCAGTTTGAAGTGTCTCTCGGAACATTGGAAACCTAATCACAGGCCAGGCGTGGGCTGTTCTAATCTTAGTCCGTGGCCATCTGCAGCTGGGCCTGGCCTGAAAGTCGGCTGCTGCTGGCATTGTTTGTGTGTTGTTGTTGCTGTAACCTAAGACCTTAAAAAATGATGTTGAAAGTAACCCAATTCGGCAAATAGATCCAGGGAACAGCCATAAACATAACCATGCGCCACTTTAGTCCCGCTTGTCTCTATAATATTTGTTTAGAGGCAGCTTTGCATAATTTGCCTACATAGAGACAAATATCTAAATAGAAAACAATAAATTTATTTGAATTTATTCTTGCTGTGGACTATGGTTAAAACTGCATTAGTATTGGTTGGCATTTTGGGTTGGGCCGTCACGGCACACACACACACACACAAACACACGCGCACACACCTGGAGAACTGTGATGGGTCTTTCATTTGCCTACCTAGAGAGACTGTTTTGGGCACACTTTGGGACGCGTAAATCAAATGCTGCTTACAAGTGGCTCGATCTCGGATCTGAGGTGTGTGTGTGGCTTTATTTTTATTGTAATCAAATTTGAAATTAATTTTTTTTCCAGCTTTGCCATAAATAAACATTATAACAATAATAACACTAGGCCGCATTCGAAAGGCCACATCAACTGAGCATTCGAGACAAGTCCAAAAAATAAAAAAATAAAAAAAAACAGAAAATACAAAAATATGTCTTGTCATTTGGCTTATGGCAGCTGATTAATCTTAGCATCTCCCCCAAATGGACGCCGCCTGTCGCGCCTCAAATGGAATGTCGCTCAACTGGTTCAAAGCAAAAAAAAAAGGGAAAAAAAAAGAAAAAACATATTCAATAGAGCCAAGGAAAAGGCCCAGAGGCACAGCCGCCGCCACGACAGCCAGTTGACTCCAAGCCGAGAGATCTTCTTGGTATTTGCTTTCCATAATTCAAAAATAGTAGGGACCAGAAATAATTAATAACCAAATCAGTTGCGTGAGGACAAAAGTGTCAAATAGCCTATTGGCCAACACACAACATACAATTTGCATAAATTTACATTTGTTATTTGTCACTTAAAGCCACAAGATACATATTTATTCATTCCTTTAAGGGGCTATCGCTTACACATGTTCAACTTTTACTCTTTACTTTGATTTTCTCAGCGAAACTATTTGTTAACTCTGACAGTGCGTAAATCAAACTACGATTATCATGATGATTATGATATTGGTGATTATGATGATGCATGGAATATGTATGTATACCAAATGTTTTATCAGTCAATTTACAAATGTAGTTTATTGAAATTCTGATAGATGTGCGCAAAAAATACAAAGGTAAGAAAAGTATTTTAAGTTTACTAAATTATCATTATCTATACAATTTTTCATGTTGATTCTAGAGGAAAATGCCATTAAGATAATACCTAATTTATAGCATCAATTACTGTTTTAAGCCATACTTATTATGTTATGAAATCCGTTTTAATTTTTATATAATTTTTCTTCGTCATTTAACACATATTTGACATTCTGAAAACGTATAAAAAATATGCACAGCATTTCATTTTCACTCATACAAATATTTGTTTTATATATTTATTATAAAGTAATTGCGATGAATTTCCGTTCTTTGATTTGATTAATAGATTAATTGGAGTAATGAGAGCAAATCGAGTTATATAAAAGTTTATGTAAAGATCTGCATTTATTTTTAAAAATTTACTCATTTTTCCCAACTTTGAAAATATTTCTTGAACAATATATATATATAAATTTCAAATAATGCAGCCATTAAGCGTGTTGGTGTGTTATGAGAAACAATGATGAGGGTTGTGTTGGTGAAATGTCAGAAATCGGGTACTAGAATAGAATAAGTTAAGATGTCCATTTATTTTGAAAAATTAAATGGAACGCATCAAAACCTTTAGTTGCAAAGTTGTGTGAACTTATAAATTAGGCATACTCTTTGTTGTCTTTTTGTAAAGTATGGATCACTCTATGATCGGGGCTAGTCGCTGGCTATTCAATTAAGCCGCATATTTTTCCGAAGCCAAGAGGCCAACACTTGAGTTGGCCATTGAAAACTGGTCCTTGCCCATGCTTAAGCTGTGCTCAGATGCCAAGCCTCTCGGCGGGCTCAACGAGCAGCCAGCACATAAAATATGACAACAACAAGTACTAATTATTTAATATGCTTAATGAACAAATGTCACCACGGTGGGGGCCACGTTGGTGCAGCAACCAGAGTGATTCACATTTATGCTGACACCACCGCACAGTGGTTCAAAGCTACTCGGACTTGTTTTCCCAATTCGTGTAACTATTTACCTTAACGAGTTAATAGAATTATAATAATTAATTTACACAACAAAGACTATTGAATTATTGTGATTTTCATGTTGGAAATTTATCTTTCAATATTTTATTCCATTGCTCTTATATTATATAATATTAAATAAGCTTTCGACTTTAGCTAGGATTTGAGATAATAAGATATAAAAAGCTTAGAGATTGAGATGGAGGGAGATTGTTTGAGTAATTTCCTAAAATTGATACACGTTTAATAGGTCTTTAGCACGTTGAATACTTTCTGTATTTGATTATCGAATTTATAGTTGATATCAAATTTGATATATATATCTGGCCCACTGTGCGGTGTATAAAATCTAATAACTGCTGTGCTTGGTGTTCGTTGCCTGCACATGGCTGAAATCTAACGCTAACACAGAAATTACTTGGCGCCACAAAACAACAATAACAGCAGCAACAACAATAATTACAACAACAACACACATGCCAATGGAGCCCGGCTAGGAGCACCTTTTGGCCTCTATGGCTTGGCACGCTGAGCGCCTGGCCCCAGTCTGGCCCGACAATCAACTATGTGGACGAGTGTATGTGCGAGAGTGTGTGTGTGTGAGTATCTGTGTGCGTATGTGTGTGGCTACCGTGTTGCAATTTGCGCTACGTGGGTTGGCTTTTTGCATAGTGTCAATTTTGATTTAGCTAAATTTTGCAGTTGCCGCTTTGCGTCTCTGTCAGCGCCCCGCCCGATAATTGTCAGGCAAATGGACTCCTACATATACACAATCACACACATACAAACACACACACACACACACTCATCTGGAGTGGACAGAAAGTGGGTGGCGCTGACAAGTTTTTGAGAAACAAGAAATATTTCTTGCAGCCAAACAAAAAGTGGGTGCAGCTGCTGAGTCGCTCTTTTAGCTATTTTTCTATAATATCTAGCAGAGAATGCAATTTGTTTTAATTATAAATTTGCCTCTAAGTAATTTTAGTTTATTATATTTATTTTGTTAAATGATTTCATATAAAGTCTAATTTTAGATACATAAAGCAGTTAACAACAAATCAATTTGTTATGCATATTCAAGCACAGAAGCAAATTTATTTATAAATTTATAGACAGAATTTTATTAGAAACATGAACGTACATAGAGCAAGTGGGCTTTTATTGTGTTTTTAAATTGAC